CGTCACATGACCGGCAAGCCACTCCCACCCCGTCACATGACCGGCAAGCCACTCCCACCCAGTCACATGGCCGGCAAACCACTCCCACAAAGCAGGCCACACCTACAGAAGAGGTTCTAAAAAAATTTGAAACCCACCACTGATTTGGACACAGGCCTACTAATGGGTCTTAAAAACCAGACATACTGTTTGAGTGAATCTGATTCTATGGAGGTGTTGAGACAGACTGGTCTTTTGAACATTATTAGTACGATGATGCAAGCTTGCCTGTCTATCTTTCCAGAAACCGCAGAAGAAAGGAGGAGGGAGAAAGACCTCCCTCTTTTTAATAATGTACCATTCCCTGGTCAGAATCCAGCTAGTAGCCTTCTCTGTCCTTATTCTTTGGATGTGCTGGGCTACTATAACCATCATCCTGAAACATCATGCCCATTGGCTGAGGATGACAGGAATTGTAACAGAAACAGAGAGTCCCAAATTGGGTAAAACAGAACTAGAATAACGAAACGCCATACATCTAGAGTATATAGGACCGTATTTTCAGATTAAAGGAATCTGGCTAACAACAATCCATGAAACCTAGAGAAGAGTTAGGGGAAATAACTTCATAAAAATCTTGCCTTTTATCAGGCAAACAAAAGATTCATCAATGAAGAAGCCTTCAATTGGGAGACAGAACTTTTTGTAGCCAATCTTTAGACTTCACGCATACATATTTATATGTTTCGGATAAGAGAAATTGCTACATCAAGAGTTACCTAATTTGTTCTTTTCCATTTCTAATTCCTTTCTATTATTTGCTACCTGAAAGCAAAGAGAAGAGTTTCGTGTTGCAAGATCTTTTCTCGTCTGTGATAGGAATGTGGAGGGTTTGAAATCTAAAGCCAAAAATATGCTAGGAAGCAATGATGGACAGGCACACATGGGAAACATTATTTATGACGTTTATTCTCTTCTAATTGTTTTGCAATTTACTACAATTCCATGTCTTAGAGCAGGAAGAGAAGCTATGAGAAAAGGGACTTGATCTAACCATTCAGGCCGATCAAAGTCTGCATTAGGAATTGAATTATAAAACATCTGTACAGCTTCCCGACTCTTCCCATATCAAACATAGTTAATACAATTAAGCGGATTATGCTCTTTCAAGTTCTTACGGGCATCCTTTTTTTGTTGATATGTCAATGTTAAAGGCAGCAATTTTTAAATCATCTTTGTCTTAGCCTTTTTAAAAAAAATCTACTGCCAGAATGCAAAAGTATAATACCAAGGTTACATTTCAGCTTCTGCCACCACTGTGTCAGAAGTGTTTTATGTATTGTTATTAAATCCAGGAAAAAAGTATAAACTGTGAATACTGGTAAATGTGTAATAATTAAAGTGAGAAAAGATTTCCAAGTGATAATCAATGCAGTTTAAAATAATTGTGTGATTCTGATTTCTTCTTGCAACGTATAATTAAAGGCCAGCTTTATATCATCAAGCAACTAATGGTGGAACGTCACATTGGAGGTGGTTGTTGAATTAAGAGGTAATCCCCCCTCCCACATCCCGCATCCTGTTCCCTCCTTCCACATGTTTTAACAATGACTGGATTGGGATTTCTTTTTTATATATATAAATTTTTATTTTAAACACATCAACACATCAACAAAAACAAACACATGACTGGGATAAAATGGAAAAGT